TTCGGACGACGATGAGGGCAAAGATGATGAGGAGACGAATGGAGCATTACCGAAAACGACTCGTCTGAATCCACAGCAATTGGCGAAATATGCACCGTTCTTCGTGGAAAACGAGCAAGGAACCCTTCAACCCACGTTTTCGATGATGTATCAGACGAATCAGGAGACATGGAGGACTACTTGTGAGGTAAGATTGGGGCCCTTGTGTTGAAGGGAAAGGGTTAGGATAAAAGCTGTTTGAACAGTGACTCAGCTGGTGGGTGCCGTTCTATTAAAATACGAGTGATACAGTTTTTAGATTAAATATATTTTATTAATATTAAAAGATTGTTGAAACAAAGCAGTAATAAAGTTGAAAAGAGAGAGAGAGAGAGAGAGAGAGAGAGAGAGAGAGAGAGAGAGAGAAACAGACAGACAGAAGTCTGTATAGAACAGCAAAAAAAAACACAGGAAAATCCATAAATTCCCGATCAAAATCCATCCTTTGAATCGTTGATCTACTCCAAAACCACATCGTCATACTCGAAATCCGCCTGCGAGAAGTCGAAAGCATCCAGATCGAAAATCGCTTTAATTGGTTTCTCGATGACCAGATTCTCCTTGTCTTCCTCTGAACTTGTTGTGGAATCCAAATACATTCCACCAGCTGATCGCTCCTCAACATCGGTTTCCGGGTTATCCGAATCCATTCCTTTGGATTCATCGGTCAATTGTGATTCCACATCAGAAGTTGGAGAATCCTCTGCGTCTCCATGATAGTCTCGTGAAGTCCATGGAACTGCATAGATCCCGGACTCATTATCCTCTTCATCGGAACAATCAGAGCAAATCATCATCGTTTCATTCGCTGCATCATACTCAGCCAAACGTCTTCTGATGTATTCTGGATCCTCCAAATCCACTGCCAACGGAACTTTGCATCCTCCTTCAGCAAGTGTTCGTCGGATCAAATCGAAACATGGTCTACAGGAGCTAGGCATCCAAAAGCAATCTCCATTCTCATTCTTTCTCCAGGTGACCACGTCGATTTCAGTATGCTCGGCATCTACGATGGCTTTGACATAGCGACCTGAATTGATGCAGGTGAATGCCAGATACGTTTGTTCCATTGGGACGGGACCAGGTGGAGCATTTCTGATGGTGTCTGAAAGATTTAGAAGAATTCGGTAAGGTTCAAAAATTCCAAAAAACTTACTCAAAAGTTGTTCCATTTCCTTCTCCGATTCGCTATTGTATCCTGATGATCCTGGGGTGCCATCCCCATTGATATCCGGCGTTCCGCATTCAGAAGTATTATCGAAAAATGGGATCTGATACTCTGATGACTCATCGAATATCTTCTCTGAATCTGCTGGAGTCTCTGTTTTCTCTTCAGTAGCTTTAGCTTCTGAAGCCACCGAATCCTTTTGCCTCTGTTCCATGAGCAAGGCCAGGACTCTCTCGTTCTCAGCGCAAACCTTTCTCAGCTGAGACAAAGTTTTCATTAAGAAAACAATGAGACCAATGGTCAAGACTCCAAGGGCCACAGTGAGGTACGGTGGAGAATAGGAAACGAGGGACATTTTTTGGGGTGAAAGAAAGGATACGAGATTAGAAGACGCCTGCTCTTCAGATGAACTGTTGAGAAGAATGAGGAGTACAGTGATGGTACTGTGAGGGGAGTGAAGACTTTGACTCTCTGATGAGTGAGTTCCTCTTAGGAAAAAGAGGATTAGAACATTCTAGATGTAGGTCAGGGTAATCGATGACTACTGGTTAGAGGGGGGAAGGGACCCTATTCAAATTGGGTGGCTATGAAAAAATCAATGAAAGGGGAATTGCTGATTATGGGTGGAAGCATTCACTCCTTCAATAAAAGATCAGTTAAATATCTTGAAAAAGTGGGGAATAGACAGACTGTACAGAATCTGAAACAGTAGGGAATCTCTGATAGAAGGACAGTTCATTAGAAAGAAATTGATGAAAAAGCGTCCTAAAAGCTTATTTTTCTAGATCGTTTTGACCACGATAACTGTAGCCTAATTTCCAGAAAACCCGTCATGTTATGCCAATCCACCACCATCTTCCCATTGAAATGTTCAACACGCCCACTCGAGTCCGTGAAAAAACTGCAAAGACTACAAATAACATGAAGAAAATGATAATCGAAGAGTTGGATAAACCGGAACGATCCACAAACAATCAAGTGATTTTCGACTTGGACACAGCCGCTTTCGACGGACTTCCCGGTCCAGAACTACCGTTTCCGAGTGCAAATGTTAAACTAGACACTTCAAAAGATCTCCAATTTGATAGCCGATTTGAAAGTGGGAATCTGAGAATGGTGGTGCAGGTGAGAGCTCTTTTATTAAAGGAAAAACAAGAAACTATGTGTGTTCAGGTGGCTCCAACTCATTATGAGCTCTTCCTTTCGCCCGATGTCAATCAATTAAGAGATCATTATCAGTGGTTTTTCTTCCAGGTGACTACTGATTTTTCTCTGGTCGCCAATTTTCACGTTAAACATGGATTTCCAGGTGTCAAATATGCGAAAATCGGTGAAATACACATTCGAAGTTGTCAATTGCTTGAAGACAAGCAGTTTGTATAGTCAAGGTGAGTGCCCTTATGATAGAGGAGTTTTGAAAACCAAATTGTGCTCAAATGCCCTTATAGTAGAGAGAGAAAGTCTCCTTCAACTCAAAAAAATGTCCTTCTATTACAGGAATGCAACCAGTTATGTACTCGATGATGGAAGCCGCAAATGGATGGCGTCGTACCGGTGAAAACGTTTGCTATTTCCGTAATTTGTACATAAATGAGAATGAGGAGAAGAAGAATTTGGAGGAGCAGAAGAAGAAAAAGTACAGTAACCCTATCCTTCTTACCTACAGTAATCCTTTTTCAGATACTATTACTCGATTCGTTTCAATGTGACATTCCAAAATACTGGTGACATTTGTTACATTGCCTATCACTATCCGTATACATACTCGTTTTTGAATGTGAGTGAATACTGTAATAGAAGAGCATCATAATCAATGAATTTGTAGTCATCCCTTTGCTTGCTCCGAAAACGAAAACAAGAAGGTGTGTACTGTCGGGAGGACGTCATTGGTCACTCTTTGGCTGGAAATCCCATCAAAATGCTCACTATCACTACGCCGGCTAGTGCAGCGGATATCGCGAATCGAGAGGTTATTGTGCTCAGTGCAAGAGTACATCCAGGAGAGACGAATGCCAGTTGGATTATGCAGGGTACGGTGTAGGAATAGATGGGAGAGAGTACTGGAGAAATCATCGAGGAGCTACCTTCCTCAGAGCATATATTTTGAAAATGAACTCTATCAGAGCTCTCCACCCCTTTTTGAATCCCCTCATGTCCCTACAATGCACTACAGTAACCGCCATTCCTATATTTCCAGGAATCCTCGAGAACCTCCTTTGCCGTCAATCGAATGAAATGTATCGTCTCCGTGAGACGTTCGTCTTCAAAATCATTCCAATGATCAATCCGGATGGAGTCATCAATGGATCTCATCGGTGCTCACTGGCTGGAATTGATTTGAATCGTGTCTGGGATCGACCGAACGAAGCACTTCATCCGGAGATATTCGCGTGCAAAGCGATCATACAGTACCTGGTACGGTAGATATTACTGCTGGAATGTTAGGATCTGTGTGTCTGTTTGTCTGGATTACTCTCCGGATTACTGTAGAAAGAAAGAGCTAGACTCACAAAACTCTTATTTGTATGTAGAAACAAGAATTTTCAGTGCGAAGTGGTGAACAAGAAGCCGTATGTCTATGTGGATATTCATGGACACTCGAAGAAATGGGACTATTTCGTTTATGGAAACAATGCTGCTGACTCGTGGAGAGCCGATGACCTTGTGGATGTACTCGGCAATGGACAGCTGGAAGAGGAACAACATTTGGCATTGCCAAGGGCTTTGGAAGTGGTAAGCAATAGCTATTTCTGAACTATTTCAAAGTGTTATGGAACCACGCTTTGATCTTAACAAGAGAACGTGATTTTGAGGATCTAGGAGCTCGAATTAATGTGGTTGGGTCTGGTAATTATTTCACATATCCATTAAGGTTGTGCGAAACGTTTTCGGACCGAAAAGTTTTTCGGTTTTTTCGCACAAAATTTTCCGAAAAAAAAAATATTTTTCGAAATTTTTTCGGAGGTATTTTTTTTTGCTGCAGCCCTGATACACATGAAAGCTAGACAACACAACAACTATCTGCCCTTATATTAAAGCTCTTCTTCCAGACATGCGCTGGCCGCTTCAACGCTTCCGAATGCCGTTTCAACGTGGCCCGGGCCAAAGAATCGTCGGCCCGTGTGAATGTCTGGCGTCAATTCGGTGTTGCCACCTCCTATACCCTTGAATCGACATTCTGTGGATTCCACAAGGGACAAAATAGTGGATATCAGATTAATACGAGCGATTTGAAAGAAATCGGAAGAGATTTACTTCATTCGTTCCTTGAAATGAATAAGAATTAGTATTACTATTATATGCACATTATTATTTCTATTTTTAATTCAAATTCCCCCCTTTTCATGTGATTTTTTCGAATTCTAATCCTATTTTTCTGAAATGATCTCTTCTTTTTTCCCCCTGAATGATGCCACACATTTGCATGATATGTAAAAGTTTTTAGTATGAAAATATAAATAATTTATTTGAAAGACATAGAAGTTTTTTTGAAATGGTCAACAGAATAACCCGAAATCTTTGACAATAGAAAGTACCCGAAGTTTTTTGGAAAAATATGAAAAACTCAAAAAATATTATCTCCTTGATGACAAATGCATCAGATTCGTTTTCTCACAATACGGACAAATACCGGATTGACGGGGAAGAGTCAATGAGAGCATTGGAAGGTAGAAGAATGTGGAGAAGGTCCAGGAGGTGATGGATATTACCACGAGGAACACACCGACCTGGAAAAACGAGATATGGAAAAACGCAGTAATGTGTAAGCCCGCGCTTTTCTTTGCTCAGTTTTACCTGCGTGGCGCAGTGGTTAACGCTTTTGTTTTTGAATTTTCAGTCCCGGGTTCGATCCTCACGGAGGCCGAACTGTTTTTCTTTTTTTTTTCTTCACCCCAAACCAACCTGATAAAAAGCATGTGTCAGCGCAGGCAACATTGACGCTCCGGCTAAAAACGAAGTGAATGCAGCTAGAGTAACTGGACCGACTCCTTTCGAAGTGGCCTCCCGAATCCGATGTTCTGCACATCCATGTTCCGGAAGAGCAGCTCCATAATGAAGGGTGTAATCGAATGAGAGACCAACAACCAATACAAGAATAACAGCTTCAAGAACTCCAAGAACCCATCCTAAAAGGGTCACGATGGCGGAGGAGGTGAAGATTACACCGGCTATTGTGACAACGGCGGCGACCGCCTGGAATTGGGGGTAGATTTTTTTTTTGAAAAAAATGCATTATGGTAAAAGTTTTTGTTCAAAAATTTACCTGGAATTTCAGTTGAATGAATGCAAAAATGGCCACAAACACTAGGGATCCAACCACTGAACTCAAGCAGTCCTGGACGATGGAGCTCAGTAAATCGAACCTGAAAAAGGCTTATGAATAAGGATTACTGTACCTTCCCAGGATTACTGTATTCCCACTTACCACGTGCTCATCAACCACCACTCTGGCGCCCACCATCCATTATCCGGTTTCGTCATTTCCAGCATTTCGAAAGATTTTGAAAGTTTTGAAAATCGATGGTTATACTTCAAAGATGTCGGAAGCATAGCCGTGTACCCAACAAATGCGAATGTTTGATTATCGAAAATCGGAGTGTCGTTGTAAGAAGTAGCCAGGAAGGATGTGGAATTCCGGAGACAAAAATCCAAATAGGAGTCCGAAAACAATGGATTTGACATGTTACAGCATAGGAATCTGAAAATTATATTCTGGGTTACTGTAGGACTACGGTAGCTCATACCCCCTGGCACACGGGTACTGATGAGACCAGTCTAAAAACCGTTCCGGCCAAAATTTGGGTTGATGGTTTACGAATGGAAGTTGACGGGCTTTCTCAAGGGAATGGGCGATTTGATGAACATCTCTGGCAGTTTTCAATGAGAAGGATGGATCGGATCTGAAAAAACACCTCTAATTGAATGAAGAATAGCATGAGAGATAGTTGTCACTCATTGTTGCCTGCCTCTCTCTCTCCCCACTCTTTGCACTCATCTCTATGCCCGTTAACCTTGTTGTCTCCCGTCGGAGAGATGGCCGAGCGGTCCAAGGCGCTGGTTTAAGGCACCAGTCCCTTCGGGGGCGTGGGTTCGAATCCCACTCTCTTCAGCTTTCTTTTTTTCTTTTTTTACTTTTTTCTTCACTTTTTACCTGATAGGTGTAGTGGAGTTTGCACGGAATGTTGACAGAGAGTAGATGGGTTCGACACCCCAAACCAGTCTAGAAGTCAGGGGTAGAGCGATTTTAGCGGAGACAAATTCGAAGTTTCGCTCAGCATTGTTATCGTACCTAAACTATTTTTTGAAGGGTGGGAACAACAAATTAGGAACCTACCATTCATGCAAATTATCCGAGGTGAAAAGTTGTAGAGGATTGTATTCAGGTAGATGGAGTCCCTGATAAGTGATAGCTGCACCTCCAATAGCCACAATTGATAGAAGAGACATCAGGAGATATCGGCCCTGGAAGGAAGGATTACTGTAGGTCCAAATGGAAATGTTACCTGAACCAAAACATGGGGCAGAAGGACATAGAGCAAATGTGATAGAACTGATCGGTATGGGAATTTGAAGCCAGTGAAACAGTCGAGGTGTCTGGAAGATTTTTGGTACACGAAGACTACAAACTATACTTTTGGACACATAATCTCCTGTTATATTTTTAGAAAAATAATTATCGTCAAATCTGATGCCGAGTATGCAATCACCTAGCTCCATATTACAGACTCACCTATGCTGAATCAGAAGAAACGCCGGCAAAAAAGAGACCACCATGAAGTAGTTGAAGATTACGGTAACACCAGCAAACAGGCCAAAGCATCTGAAATTACAGTAGTCTGGTTAAAGGCGCAGGTGATTTTTTATAGGAAGTCTCATAATTTTTTACTGTAACAGTTTCAGAGTTTTTAGGGAAAATTTGAAGTTTTGGAGATGAACAATAAAAAGTTTCTATTACATCCTTAGTGGCACGAGAAGTTGTACAATAACAAAGGTTTATTTACATAGGAAAAACCGAGTTCTATAGAGTTCTCAAGGCTTATATAGCGTGTTCTTATCGCCACGTAGAATCTAGAGGGTCGTGCGGTCATAGGCCATTCCACGCCACAACAGTTTCTTTGTGGCGGGACCCACCCGGATTACTGTAAGAAAAACTCACCGAAAAACAATGACATTCGAAGTGATATTGATGAAGAATGGGACTACGGTAGAGAAGCAAGTCAGGAACATTGTGAAAGAAGTGTGCGTTAGAAACTGGAAATCAAGAATTTTAGACCCAAAATTGGAGGTTTTTATGTACAAATTGAGGGTTTCTAAGCCGAGAATTAGAGGTTTTTTTGTGAAAAAAATTACGGGACTTTTGGTCTGAAACTTGTGATTTTTGAGCCTAAATTCGTGGGTTTTTAGACCCAAATCCAAACGTATTTGGGCTCAAAATTAAAGGTTTTGAGATTTTATTTTATTTTTTTTATTCAGAGATTTTAGGCTCAAATTAATAGTTTTTCTTTTTTTATCTTTCAATTTCAATAAAAAAAACTTACAGTATGAAAAGTGTCCTCATTCAAATGATTCGGGAAATTCGACTTCAATAAAAAAGCATCATCTGATCCAATTGCAATCAAAAGAACGAATGTGACCAGATTGAGAAGTGGAAACTCATCAGTGAACAGGCTATACACTCCCAAGGCTCCTGAAAAAAAATATTGGTAACAAGGGTAGTTGTGGATGCCCGCGCATCATGAGCCCCGTCACGAAGAAGTTACTGTAGGATTTTTTTCTAAAATTGAATAAACTACAGTTCTAATCTAACCAAAAATAAAGAAACAACTGCCATCGCGGTGAGACCTTCTCAAAACAAATCACATGCGCCTTTAAGGTAAATCCTACCCATCACTTCATTTCACTCACCAACTACAGAAAGTGCCAACAAAAGAATGACCACAAATGCATATAAAAGTGATTGGGAGTGAACAGCAACTACCTGAAATCGAAAGGATACTGTAGGGGTTACTGTCTTTTCTCCGCTCACAATCATAACAAGACCAGCAGCCAGAAGAGCCAGAACAGAGTCACGGAGAGCAGCCGCCAGGAGACGATCTCTTTTCACGTCCATCAAGAGACCTAGAAAAATATTACAGTAATAAAATCATAGGGTGGTGAGACACACCTTTCAATTCGAATCCACTTCTCTTTGAATAATCAATAACAGAAGTCTCCAATGAATCATACAATACAACATCCACTGGAATATTCTGAGTGATATATCCAGTTAATGTGAAGACTGGTAGAAAAGTATTCACAAGAAATGGGGTGTCATCTCGATTCTTTGGAAGGAGACGGTAGAATAAATCATGGATTATTTGGGAGGAACACTCTTCTGGGAGCTCTGGAAAATGAGAAAAAATTGAAGATGAACGGGATCTATTTTTGAAAAAATAAGCTTTGGATTACTGTACCTCGACACGTTGCACATTGTCCCTGACACTTTTCACTTCGACACTCGAATATCGGGGAACGATACTTCCAGCAGTTGTCAATGGTTTTTCGCACGATTTTTATGTCGGACTGCAAAATTGATCTATGTGGAACTGTAAACCTTTTTTACTAGAAAATTTGTGTTCCCACGGCCTTAGTACTGTCGTATTGGAATTTATTGACGTAGGTTCAATTCCACACGACTTCAAACCTTTTTTTTTTCTTCTAAATACCAGTTCAGAACTATCACTGCCACTCTATCAAAAGTTTCCACAATAAAAAACCTCACCTCGTCCAATTGTGTACAATTAACCCGGAGATTTGGGGAAATACAGGCGAACATGTTTGCAACACTCCAGATATTCCTGTATGGAGTGAATGCATCGAATCTGGACAGTGGTTTGGAGATATTTGATTGCATTTGACACAATTTATCAAGGAATTTCAGGTCGAATATGGCATCATAATTGGGCACTTCTAGGACGATTTGGGAGAGATGGTCCACTGAAATATAAGCTTTTTTCAATGTTTAGAGCGTGGGAAGGAAGTACAAACGTCTTTATCAAATGATACAAAATTCATATAAGGTTGCATCAGAAAAAAATAGATCAAAAACTGGAAAAACCCTTCAATACTGAGAGTACTGAAATTTTTTTTGTCCGGGTTTAACCATAATTTTCTGCTGCAACCAAATATGAAATGTATACCAATCGATAGAGAATTTCATGATGATCATGCTTGCTTTTTATCACTTTTCTCTATGTTTTCAATGAACTGAGTTATAGCCGTTTGAAGACACACGAGAGACGCATACAAGGTTAGAGTGTCTCACTGTCTGCGTCTCTCAAATGGGTTCAAACGGCTAGGTGTCCGGATGTCTGTCTACTTCATTGAAAGTTTCGTTTTTGTCTGCTTGTCCGGATATCCACTTACTCAAGGGAATCGGTGAATCATAACAGGCGACTTGATTGATAGCAGACAACAGATTATCAGCCCAACTCCTTTTCTCTCTCTTTTTGCTCTCCACTGGTCTCTGAATCAGTGGCTGTTGGACATCCGAATCAATTGGTCGTGGATTCGAGAATGCAATTCTATTAGAGTACATTAGACTCGGTTGAATACGTGCCCATGCTAATCGGGGACCCGAAAGCTCTGTGTCTTTTGTGTCGAATCCCTGAAATCTTACAGCGATTTGCGAACTCAAGAACTCAAGATCGAAACATGTTCATTTCCATGCAACTTTATTAGAGGATCGACCAAACTATACAATCTTCTCGCTTTTTGTAATAAAACTGAAACTACACCCTTATCTTTTTTCTGATTACCGGAGATCACTACACTAATTACAAAGAAATGGGAAGAATAGGATGGGAACAAGATTTCCGAAGCAT